AAATAAGCCTTTGTGCACTGTCTTGAACTTTTTAGACTCGCCTTGCCTGGCCTTTGACCATAGCTGAGTTTCGTAATGTTTAAAAAATTCTATTTCATTACCTCATTGTAAAATAATAACCTTCCATTAGTCTTTTATAAAACTTTGCAACTTTTATAAACTTTTATAAAAATTTAACTTTTGATTAAATAGATCAGATTATTACAGCAGCTTCTTTTTCAACCGTTCAGTTACCAATAGGAGAAGTGGCTCTTGGTATCTGCTTGAAACTTGCTGGCTATCATTTAAACCTAGTTTCTGGTTTTCAATTCACTGGATATGATTTTCGCCAAATTTTTTCTAGTTTGCGTTTACCTACAAAGCTCAACGCGTAAGTCTGAAGTCTTCCAGTTTGTCGATTTAACTTGCTCTCAATGTTTCGACTTTCGTAACGAAAGTAACGGAACTTTTAAGCTCGGGGTGGGTTTTTTCTTCAGACAAAATTCGATTTTTTAACTAGCCATTTTTGACGGGATTTTTTTATCTTTCAAAAAGTAGTGTCGTCCTGAACTTAAATTTGATAAATTATTTTACTTGTGATCAGTTTTTATAAAGTTATGGGGGTATAAAAATTGCCATTATGAACAATTTGGGACAATTAACGCGCGATAAATTTCGCGCTATTAACGCATAAGCGAGGTTTAATCCGTCTATAAAGTCGTTCCAAACCGGTTAAAGGAAGCTAATTTGCCACAATTGATTTATTACTAGGAGCGGAATCTATCACTTTGTGATATACATTGTGCGTTGGGGGATGATTTTCGCAAACATCCCAAATTAAAAAAACTATATATTTTATTTTTTAACATTTGATTTTTCATGTTATTACTCTTCAATAGACCTCAAAAGGCAGTAGGATTATTCAGGTCCTCGCCCTGATACGAGCAGTCTTGTTTAACATCATACAAAATTGAGACAAGCCAACAGGTCTCATGAACTTCCTTTTAAACTAAGAGAGCTTCAACTGGCATTTGTGTCCGTTTTTATGCTCTAGTTGTTTTCAACAGTCTAGCTTGGAAGTGTCTAGCTAGGAATTCTCTCCAAACAAAATTAAATTTGTATCCAAAAAAGAAATGTTTAAATTTGTACCAAATAAAGGTATAGAAATACATGAAAATAATAATTTCAAAGTATAAAACAAGTAGAAAACAAAGTATAAAGTTTAAACAGTTAAACCTTGAGAAAAGTGCTGGTATTTGTACAGCAACGTATTTTGAACTCTGGGTAACAAAATTTAAAAACATAGATGGATCACACATTCTTTATTTTAACCAAAAAAAAAAATTATCAAGAAAAACTGAGCAGAATAATTTGCGGACAGTCCAGGTAATTTTGTTCTGAATTTTGGATTGACTCAAACTCGACATTGGATTGCCCCAAACTCGACATTGGATTGAGGCATGCTCTTTAAATTTTTTAATTCTTTGCTATATGCAAAACTTATCACGTTCTATTTTAAATGGCGTATGGGTATATGATTTTCAAAAAAAAACATCAAAAAATGTTGAAATTTTTTCAGTTGTTTTTTTTTATCACTTATTTCAATTTAAATTACTCCATAGAATATAAAAACGCAGTCAGAACATTCAAGGCTTCCTCCTGATTTGAGCAATCTTTTTTAAGTTAGAAAACCACTTGTCCACATTGATATGTTCCCAGATATGACTGCTGTCACTTTTTACTTAACTAAACAGAGTTTTTAATTTAACTATTAATTTTTGTTATGAAACGAGAAGATTTTTGATATGATTTTGGTTTTTTCAGTTAGCAGAAACTTTGATTAATTTCGCAAAAACACCAACAAAATGATAAACATTTTGCGCAGATTCAGTGCATTGGGACTTTGTTAGCAACAAAACGAAGAGACGCCGTTATAAGTTTTTCAGAGGTAATTCCGCGTATTTAAAACTAGAAAAATTTTTTGAACAATTTTAAATTTTAGCTGTTTTATGAAAATAAATGAGAATATTTTATGAAAGCTTACTCCAACACGCAATGTCGAGCAACAAGAATTTTTTTGCGCTTATTAAATTAGTTTTAGACTTTTTTACTTTGCCTTATTTCATTTTCATTTAATTTTAAGCCAAATTAATTCAAAAAATGCTATACGCGTTCATAAAAAAATGGGAATTTGGATAGTTTAGAAGGGCCAATTTGAATTTTCAGTCCAGCTTAAGTTAACATAGAAACTAGCTGAAACATTTTGTTGAAATACTGAAGTCTGTTTCAGAAAATACCAATCCGATTACATTTAGTCCAGCAAAAAATTGCTTCAATTGCATCAAAAGTTTTGAACTACTCTACTTATCTTTTTTTATTTTAGAAAAACGCAATTTTTCGTCCGGACAAAAATCAGAAAATTTTTGTCTGTCAATGAAGTTTTTGATATAACTTTAATCAAATAGTTTTTGTTAATTAAATAATTAAATGTCAGTAACCGTGTTTTTTCTTTTAAAAAAATGCACTCTCAATTAACACTTGAAAACTGTACACCTAGAAACTGATCATAGACTATTTGCATTGAATTGATGAATATATAATCATCAATTACAGAGTAAGTTTTTGACTGTTTGAGAGTAAACTTATTTGATAGAAATAGTGCAAAGTACTCGAGTCAGATTTCGAATTTTTAGTGAGAGCCACTGAAACAACTGTTGTCCAGAGAAAGTTCAGTCGCACGTTCAAATAATTTTCACAAGTACCAGGGGCGAATCTTGTATTTTCTCGGGGGGAGTGGGGAGTGGGCGGATTTTCAAAAAAATTTCATAAATTTTGTCGATCTTTTTTTAGGTCGAGCAAATTCATTTTCCGAGATCTCCCAAAGCATTTAAAAGACCTCGATTTGGTCAAGTTTTCTGCGCCGCAGGCAAAATTTTCAAAACACAGGCCATTTATTGACCTGAGATGGAAAAAAAAAGAGTTCACCTGCTACTTTTGTGGCACAATTTTTTGAGATAAAAAGGCCAAAACGGTAAATATAGGACATATAAAAAGCGCTTTTTTCTTTTTATGCTTAGCGTAGGCAGCAATTTAAACTGGCTGAAAAATTAGACTCAAAGGGTTAAAAGGGTTAATTGCGTGTGGGAGGATTATTTTCTGGCAAAAATTATATAAGGTGAAAAGTCAATAAATGATTCAAAATTTCCCCCGTGATACGGAAAAAAAAATTTTTCTTCTTGTTGCTGTTTTTGGTGCTGTTGTTGTTTTTGGTGCTGTTGTTGTTTTGTGGTTGTTGTTGTTGTTGTTGTTGTTGTTGATAAAAAAGCTTATGATTTGTGTACTAGGAAATATTGTTCACCTTAATTGATCCAAAATAAACAATAGAAGCTACAATTCAAAATAAAAGCAAGCTCAATTAAAAGCAAAACAAAAATTTCACCTGTGATTGTTTTTTGTAAAGTTATGCTGCTTTAAAGATTGCTAATATTGCCAATTTGGGACAATTAACGCGCGATATATTTCCGTCTTAGAAATTTATTCTGTTTTAGAACTAGTTCCAAATCTGTTCAAGCAGGCTCAATGTCATAACTGCCACTTTATTTGGAGCAAAATCTATCAGTCTTACTTAATACGGCATGTGGGGGGATGATTATCATATAAATTGCAAAAATTAGAAAAAAAATCAAAGAAAATTTCATCAATTCTTAGAAAACAAGCTGCTCCATAACATTAGAAGGCAGTCGGAACATTCATGGGTTTGCTCTGATACGAGCAGTCTTGTTAAACTATATAAAATAAAGTACATGAGCAGTTTGAACAATTAGTTCTTGTCCTGATAAGAGCAGCTTTGATTCTTTCGTTTTTGGAAAAATTAACTTCGACAGAAACTTTCATTTTTGTCTTTAATTACTAAAAACTACACGAAAGCGAGAAGGGGCCTTTAACTTTTTTGGATTATTTCTAGATATTTATTGGTTCAATTTATCAGATGTTCTATTTTTTGAGACTTTTTAAACATTTTTATAATATTTAATAGCTTAGTAATATCGTTACTTTTAAAACAAATTTTTTTTTTGTACTATTTAAAAATTGGATCGACCACAGCAAATCTGTGATTTTTCAAAATTAAAAAGAGTGCTCGTATCAGGGCAAAGCCCTGAGTATTCCGACTGCCTTTTAAGGTTTATGGAGCAGTAATAACTTTAAAAAAATTAAATGTAATACAATAAAATGAAAAAAAAAAATTCTAAAATTTGAAATCTAAAAAAATGAAATCATCCACCCACACGCCAGATAAAGTACAAAAGAAGAAATTTTGCTATTGTAACGAATAAATTATGGCAAAATAGGCTTCTTTCAACCAATTTGGAACGATTTATAAGACGGATTAATTCTTCGCTTACTCGTTAATAGCGCGCATTATAACGCGCGTTAATTGTCCCAAATTGGTCAAAATGGCCAAAATGGCAATCTTTAAACCCTCATAACTTTACCAAAAATGATCACAGGTGAAATATCTTTTCAAATTTAAGCTCAGGACAACAATACCTTTTGATTGATATAAAAAATTCCGTCAAAAATGGCTAGTTATAAAGTCAAAATTTGTCTGAAGAAAAACCCACCCCGATCACAAATATTCCGTTACTTTCGTATCAAAAGTCGGAACCATAAGCCAGTTTTTCAAAACTGCCAGTGTGCAAGATCGAAGAAATTATGCTTGATTGGCTAATAAATTGATAGCTCAAATATCTTAAAAACAATTTCCAATACCAAAACTACAATTTTTCCTATTGGCTTAGAAGGACGTGGAAAAAAATGGTTGTTTCGCCTATTTTTATTAAGCATAAGAAATTTTGCGAGCATTAATTCAACTAATATGTTGTGTTAATCTTTCCCTTAGGTGTTAAGAACAATATATTGGAGGATTAGCTCCATGCATCCACAGTAAATTACATTCAATTCATAATCAGCTTTCAAGCAATCTGTTTGAACGTAATTTTTTTCGAAAATTTAATTTTTTGATTTCGTCAACAAGAAAGCAGTCGTGCATTCCTCTCATGTGGCTTGTTATTTTTCATTTTGATTATTGCCTTGCGCAAACTTGTTTGTAAAAAATGAAAAAGCAATTGATTTTAAACAGATTTCGCTGCCATTAGTATTGAAGTTCTAGTTCAGAGAGAAATTCAATATTTGTTGAGGCAGTTTTTACCGGTAGAGTCACCGCGTGAAAACTGAATTTATTTTACTCGGGAAGAAAAACGATGCCAAATAGATCACACTGAAAATAAAATTTTGTTATCACAATTTTTCATTCCCAATATGCACGGAAGTAAATAATATTGATTCATTTGAAACACATATGATACCAAACCAAGTGTTTTAATGCAATTTGCTTTGTTATTTTTTGTTTAAAAGCAAGCTAACTATCTGGTTTTGCTGCGGCGGCAATTCTCAGTGACCTGAAAAAGTTTCCTTCTTCTCTGAAAAAAGGGACATATTTGATTGGTTACTTTATTTTAATAAAGAACACGGTTTCTGGGCCGTTTTTTCATGGTTAGATTGTTAGTAGGTGGACATTTTAATTTCCATCTTCCATTAAATGTCTCCTTTTTAACATCAACAGAGACTAGTAACTTGTCAAAAATAATCCCAAAATTACCCAATCCTGGAAATTCTAAATTCTCTCCTGCAGTCGCCGAGCCTCAATTTCCCTCATCTTCAATTTTCGACTAATGGTGGCACTTTAATCTTTTTTTCCGTTCCACACATTTTGAGTGAATATCTGAAATAAACCACACTGCTTTTCAGTCCTTCCTTATTTCCACAATATTTCAACCCCTGCCTACTGACTTCATTAGTTGTTTTTCCCTTTGCCATACCGACAGAACGGCCCTTTTTGGATATTGCAATTCTGCTGGATGTGCTGAAACAACTGGACCTGTGCTAGTTGAAATTCACCTTACAATTTCCTCTTTTAGATTGCTTGTTGTTTCTATCATCACTGTTGTCCATGGTTGCCACATGATGTGTATTTTGGCTCCAGTCAATTTTAAATAAGTTGAGCTGCCCGCCCATTTTTTTGTTTGCTGAGACAGATTCACCCTAACAAACTACCAGCCGATTTATCTGAATCCGTACAAAAATGGTAAGTTCGCATTTTGACTTTGAAAAGCAATAATATTACTTTTCTAAACCAACATTTTCTCTTTTATAACTTTTGAAAGTGAATGGGAAGCATTTCAATGTCCACAGCGGCGATCAATATTGTAGTAAGCTTTTTGTATCAAAGCGTAATTTTTTAAAGTGTTTCAAAGTAAAAACCATAAGGTACCATAAAAACTCGGTGAATGCGTTGCTCTAATAAGGAAGCTACTGCCATTAAATAGCCGGGAAGTTGAAACTTCCAGCTCAGAAAAAAAACCAGCAAACTATTCATGAAAATCTCAACAAAAATGTTCCTTTCAAGGCTATGCCCTGATTGTTTCGACTGCTATGCCCTGATTGTTTCGACTGCATTTCGACTTCAACTCGTTTTCCTTTTCGTCCCACCTGCAATTCTTAGACAATTTTTTATCCCATTTAAGCCATGTAAAACATATTTGATCTTCATTCTTAACTTTTTAAAACAACTCAAAAAGCCATAAAAATGAAGCTCTTAAAGATGGGGGAGGGAGGAAAGGGAGAGAGAAAAATTTTAAGTTTTTTTTGTTGTTTGATAAGTTCAAAGTGATTTTTTTTGCATATAGAAAAGTTTTAAATAGACCAAACAGCATGTCGCAATTCATTATGGAACGATTTCTCAAAGGGACTGAAACTCCGCTGACGGGTGTTTAGCACGAGTATAAATCGCGTGTTAGTTGGTCCAGATTGGCCAAAGTAGCTATCTTTAAACCCTAGTATTTTACAAAAATTGATAACAGGTCAAGTCAAATAATTTGTTTTTAAAATGATCTCAAATATTTATTGAATTTTTCGTTTTTAAATTGTCTAAAATTGCTAATTAAAAAGTGAAAATTTGTCTGGAGGAAAAAAATCACCCCAATCACACAATCACATATATTCTGCTATTTTCTTCGAAAGTTGGAACAAAAATCCAGACTGATGCGGTCAGTCACGAAAAAGCAAGCAGCTCAAATTTCATATTTATAACGAGAAAACATTTTTAGAACTTGCTTTAAGGCCACAAATATAAAAAAAAACATTAAAAATTACGTTTTTCTTATCATTGCTCACCTATTTTTAGTTTGTGTGTGTTAAAAGACAAGTGTTTGAAACGAATGGATTGTTAGATAGAAAAAAATATGGAAAGCTATTGAAAACAAGACTTCCCTCTAACTTAACAAAAATATTGATTGTTAAATTGTTAAAAACGAGACGAGTGTGGACTATCTGAAAATTTTCTTCAAAAGATGTAACCGTTATCAGGAATCGTTATTCACACAATTCTCAACAATTCGCAGTTTTCAGATAATATATGCCAGCCAGAACTCAACAAAAAAACCGATTTGAAAAATTTCGCAGTTGAGCAAATTTTGACTGGTAACGCTGCAAGTGCATTCGGCTTGAGTAGTTTAGTTTATCACAACTATTATTTGCTGCTAGCCTTTAAATTGGAAATCATGCAAACGTGACCATCTCCTGTTTTTTTTTTCAGTACCAAATCGGATAAATAGTCGAACTAGAATTAAATTACTCAAACTGAAATCTGAGCTGTCATTTGTTCAATAGTTTGAATATTAAGGATGAAATTTTATATTTGTAACTTAGCAAAAATCATTCCACCCATTATGTAAAGTACAAAGTGTTTATTTTTATTTAAACCTACTTTTGAGAGCAAATTGCGAGCTTCAGTTCATTTCTGAATGATTTTATTAGCTGCTAAACTTTTATTAGGACGACATTTTTTTTTCGTTAACCATCAAATTTTAAATTAAAGTAGTCGCTAAGTCAAACATCTATAATTTTGCTACTAAAAATAACAGATGTAACAGTTTTTGTTTTTAGAGCCTTTCTTTATCATCATAATCTTTCAGGTTGTATCAAACAGTTCGGTCAAAAAATTGCTAATTAAAACCTCAAAAGTTGTCAAAAAAACCATCTTGAGCACAAATGTTCCCTCTTTTTCTTCGTAAGTCAAATCAATAACTTCAAGAAAATAAGCCTTGCTTTTTTAATAACCTTATACTTCAAAATGGCTCAAATAAAAGAAAAGTGTTTTTGATTTTTAAAAAAAAATGTAGAACTCTTCTTAATTGATAATATTTGATTCAACAAACTGTAAACTTTTTTTCGTGAAATAAATCTGATAATTCATAACCTCTTTCAACTATTAATTCAATCGAATTAAACAATCAAGTTAAATCAATTTTCGACTTCTTATGTCAGCATTTTTGAGGGAAGCATTTTTCATCATTTGAGAGCATTTCTTACCACCTGAGAGATATTTTGGTCCTGTACTAAAACTGAAAAAAATCCATTTCTTGTAAAGTTAGAGGGGTTTGTTGAAGCTTGCTACGTTGGTCAGTTTGGTATAACTAACGCGCGATAATAAGATAGAATAAATAGAATAGAACCACAATCTTTGTATTTTACTAGTGGGGGATAAAATGAAGAAAAAAGTGAACGTTTTTTCTCCTTCGATGATTTCGTCAATTATTCGACCAAAAAACTTTTTAATTTGCCTTAGAGTGCAGTTGGAACATTGAAGGCCTCGCCCTGATATAGAAAAATTTTGTAGCTCCGAAATCATTCCATATGAATTGAGGCCAACTAGTTGATCCGTCTAAATAACTTGTTTTTATATAAGAAAATAACAATTTTAAATTGAATTTGCCTATTTGGTGATGGTTTTGAATTTGATAATTGAAAGCCAAAAACTACTGCGGGCAACTTAAAGGGCTTTCGGATTATTCAGTGCTCGGTTATTACTTCCAGTGCAGTTGGGAAAACTAGAGCAAAATTTGTAGCGAGCTGGATTTAAAAGTAAATTCAGGGCACAAGCAGTCTTTGTTTTTGTTCCGACTTTCGATACGAAAGTAACGGAATATTTGTGCTCGGGGTGGGTTTTTTTTCTTCAGACATATTTCGACTTTTTAAATAGCCGTTTTTTATATCATTCGAAAGCTATTTTTTTCTTGAGCTTGAATTTGAAAAGATATTTTACCTGTGATTATTTTTCGTAAAGTTATGGAGGTTTAAAGATTGCCATTTTGGCCAATTCGGGACAATTAACGCGCGATAAATTTCGCGCTATTAACGCGTAAGCGAGATTTAATCCGTCTTAGAAATCGTTCCAAATTGGTTCAAGGAAGCTTATATGCCATAATTGATTTGTTAATAGGCGCAAAATCTATCACTTTGTACTTAATATGACGTGTGTGGGGATGTTTTTACATAAAATCTCAAATTTTTTCAAAAATTTTTTAAATTTTTTTTATTACCTTGAAATTTGATGCTCGATAGACCTTAAGAGGCAGTCGGAACTTTCAGGGCTTTGCCCTGATACGAGCAGTCTTGTTTGATTTGGATTTAAATTGAAAATATAAGGCGTGTTATCAAAACTATCTTTCGCGTTGGGTATGAATCAAAGCTTTGTATTGTTCAGACCACTCAAAGAGCGACAAAATAATACGGAAATCTATGGGGTGGACTTTTACGTGACTTTTTCTACCATCCCAATGTACGGTTACGAAGCATTGAGTATTGTTCTTGGCTCTTTCATTAAAATTCGTTATACATCAGCATTCAAAAAAAAATACATCTAAAAATTTTCTCAGTGTTGAAAAAAGTCTCCTACATTTTTTCCTGCCACACTTAAAGAAGGGGAGTGGAGATGAAGAGATGGGAGTTTCCTGACAGGTTTAACCAAAAAAATGTTTATATATTGTTAGCTTACAAATAATGAAATTTGTTTCGCAATGAAATCTGAGCTGATTATTGAAAAAAGTCATTATTTTAGGCGGAAACTTGCGTGTTTAAAAACGGCTGGAGTTGCATTGATCCATATACTGGAAAACGATGTACTGTTGCTACATAAAAGCAGTTGTTGCTGCTCAATTCAAATTTATTAGGGTTTGAAGAGGTTTAAAACGCCTTTTTTTTCCATAGATTTGACAACAACGCTACGCGGTGAAACCGCATTTTATATCTTTTTAGAACTATTTTTTCATCAGAGCTTTCTAAGTTTAAAAAGGCGAATTTTAATTTAATTTTCTTTGGAAAAATTTCATTTTAATTAATTTGAGACTGGACTTTTCTAATTTTTGAATAAACAGCATACAATCGTACACTGGGCGCAATTATTTGCTTTTGTGCTTGTAACAATAGATAGACTTGCAAATTTTGTTCATTGCAGTCCAAATTTATAATTAAACAAGATTGCTCGCATCAAGGCGAACATTTGAATATGCCAATTGCCCCATTAACGTCCCGCCAGAAATTAATGCTTTACTCAAGGATAAATATGCAAGAAAGAACAAGACTGCTCGTATCAGGGCAAAATCTTGAATGTTCCGGCTGCCGTTTAGTTGGTCTCGAATATTTTTAAATGATGACTCATTAAAAAATTTTGAATTTTAGGCTGATGGCATCAAATTGTGGTGAATTTCCATAGGTCCCAATGTTCATAGGACCAAAAAAACCAGTCACACAAGTCAACAAAAACTTCTTCTTGAATTCTGTTTCTTTGAAATTTGAACTAACGATTGGATGGATTGTTTGATTTTCGTTTAACTGGCAAAAATCAAGCCGCAGAATAGAGACCACCACAGAAGTGTCAACGTTTTGCGGGTGCCATCTGAGGGTAAGACTCTATACGAAAACTCGAAGCCGGCTATGGTCACGTAGCGCGACCTCCGACGACCTTAAAAGTAGTCAATTAAAGCTGTACTTGAGTTATTGAAAAAATATGGGATTTATGTGACTGCTTATATTCCGACTTTCGAAAAAAGTGATGGAATATTTGTGCTCAGATTATTTTTTCTCCAGACAAACTTCGACATTTAACTAGTCTATTCGATGAAATTTTTGTATATCAATCAAACAATATTGTTGTTCGAGAGGACATTTAAAAGATCTTTTATCTGTGGTCAAGTTTTGTAATCTTATAGGTTTAAATATTACCAATTGTGTCAATTTGGTTTCATA